CTCACAGATTTTCTTCAAATTTTAACCAACAGCAGGTATCATTAAAACATGACAATCTTGGAAATTTGAGCCTCAAAGGCCAAGCAGTTCAGAAAGTATGACATTTTAAAGATTTTGTGTGAAATGTAGTTTGTGAGAAAACCACAGCATTACAAAATCCCATTTTCTTCAATAAAATTCCATCCAGACATACTAGGAAAGTTTTTGAGGGCCAGAACTCCAAAAATGACATCAACAAAAAACATATCTAAAAATGATAAATAAAATGATAGTCCAGTATTTAACATAAAAAGAATCGGATTTTTTAACAACGGATTTTTAGTAAGACAAGATGGATGAGTGACTAAAGTGACACTATTTTCATGCCTTAGTTTTTTTAATGCTTTTATTAGGTCAAGTGGTCATAAAATACTAAACAGTACAAAAGTAGAGAAACAAAAATAATCTCACAAGAAATAATAACATCTAGAAAAATAATCTACCAACCAAAAGACTTCATGACATATTTTTATCTAGGAATGAAGTTTAGCAAATGCAGCTACAGTTTTGTTATAATCTTGAAACAAAAAAAAATGTCAAAGAAAATTGCTGAGGAGAACCAAACTTTTCAAGAAAAGTGTGAATATTTCCCTTTTGTAATTGAGGTAAATAGGGTTGCCTACTTACTGTCCCAATGTCAAGAATTGATTATTCTTTTAAAGAATTATGCAAAAATTTTACTTTTAAAGGTGTACTTAATAAACTTGAACAGCTGGAATATGTATGAAATCTTAGTTGCCTGCCTGCCTGCCTGAACCCCCCCCACCACCACCTCTTTCTCTCTTTCACTTTTTCTATTACTGAAAATTACTAAACTGATTGAATTAAACTTTGTGGATCTGTGGACGCGTTGGTTGGGGACCTATCCACATGCTTTGTGGGGCCCCTGCGCCTCTCCATTAGCACATAATGCCTCTTTCAGGATGTAGTCAATCATGGATCTTCACATCTTCCAATCCTTTGTAGCTCTTAGCAATGTTTGTAGTTCTACTACACCTTCCACTCCCTGTTCTGCCATCCATTTACACAAACTCATCAGGTGGGGTTACTTGCAGCTTCCCTGTCCCTCTTGCCTGCAATATGTCCTGTGAATGTCAGCTGGTGACACATCATATGAGTCATACACAGTCTATAATAATTTATGCATGTTATATGACATAACCTTTTTATGAATAAAGCAAATATTTCCATGAATCTATTAGCTTTCTAAGTATCAGGAGAAATTGAAATGTTTAGTAATATGGGATGTAGTGTAGATGCAACAGTTCAAATTTTCAAGGTAGCAGTGAACATAATTTTATTTAACCATATTATAAATAAGTAGGTATACTTATTACTTCAAAGATTATTTGTAGTGGATACCCATGTTTAAAATAGACAATACGTTTTTTTTAAACAATATTATTGGTCCTGATCCTGGCTTCAGTCACTTTCCCACCATCATAAAGTTGCTTCCCTGTGCCTTTTCTATAAATATTTTCATGATAATTGTTCAGATGAGCACTTCACTATGGTACCTAGACTTTATAAATTTAATCATAGCACTAGATTGGCAAAAAGGTCTCATCAATTTACAGTTAAATTAGCTAGATGTAACTGTAAGTTCTATGCTAACAATTTCTTTTCTCACACTTCTCACTTGTGGATGTCCCCATGATTTCTGTCCAATTTTGATCTTCAAAAATGTAAATGCAATGTCAATCATTATCTACTCTCTTCCTAATCACTTTTCTACTGTTCCCACTCCTTCATGTTTCTGTTTACTAATTCTTTCACACTCAGTAACCCTTTGTGCCTTAGTGGCTTTACTTCCTTGTTTGGGGTGAATTTGATTACATAAAAAAACCAAAAAATAGAACAGTGTGTATTTCTATCAGCTTGCTCTGTACATCCCAAAAAACTTAATAAAAGAAAATGTGTTCTTCTGCAGGGTTTGAATTTGCATCCCTGTTTGTAGGAGAAGTCACTGTTTGAACTGGCATCCTTTATTGGATTAAAAATAAATCCATTAATTCTTTAAAAATTGCTTTGTTTACATTTTGGATATCAAACTGAAAAATCTAAATGAAGGAAGTGTGCATTCCCTGTAGGTACCCCCACGTTTTCACTGAAAAAACAGCATAGCATGATGAAAAAAGGCTACAAACTTAATAAAAACAAAGTTTTATTGCCAAAATGTTTGTTATTATTAAGAGGAAAGACCAAAGTATTTTTTATTCTTTTATTAAATTTTTGAATCGTTTTTAGCACATTTGAAATTTTGATAAAAAATCTTTTTTTTTTACGTCAACAGTCAGAGTAATATTTACAATTGGTGTTTTAGCACCTTTTTTTCAGGTGAAAAACACATTGATTTGAAAATTCTTGCAAAAATCAAATAATTGTTGGATTTTAATTAAACTTTCAGGACTTATTCATAAATTATTTTTTAAATTTTTTTATTTACAAAATCTTAGTAAAAAAATATTTTTTTTTTACATATGTTAATTTCATAAATTTTGAGAAATTAAATTTCAATCTCAAAATTTATTTTTTTAGTTAAAAGCAGGACTCCTTGGAGAATGTAAAACATCAATTTTTTTTTTTTCAAACTACCACTCATTTCCTGAAAACCTGTTCTGAATTGTAAAATAAAAAAATGCAATGAAATTATTGAATTAGAAAACCTTTTAATTGGTTTGATAAATAAGATTTATTAAGGACACTATTATCTTAATGTTATATTCTGTGCTAAGGGAATAAACACATAACACCAGGTGGATACTAGAAGAAAGGTTTATTGTACACAACAAGTACAATATGAAATACAGTACAGTTATACACACAGGTCAATCTAGTAGTGAGTGCCACTAAATGGAAGGTGAGAGACATGCTTGTGTCTTCTCGTTCCTCAGTCTCTCATAGATGGTTGACTTTATAAGTACTTACTACCTATAGTGTAATCATTCATGGGGGTGACTGGTTATTACATTACATCACTTAAAATTTTTTTTTCCATGAATAATAAGTTTTTACAAGCATTTTTTTCATTTTTTTAAAAATTATAATAATTTATAATATATAAATCATTTAGAATTCTGCATTACTTTAATCTGGTTAGGTGATATTGTTATTAAGTGAAAAGTATATTTACTAATCAAAAATTGAAATGCTTAATTGCTCCAAGATTTTAAAAATAATTTATAATATTTTTTATGTATATAAAATATTGCATAACATGCCTCTGTTTGAAAGTATAGTCAACCATACATAACATTATCAGAAAATACGAGCGATGAATATAATAAATTTAAAGTCAACAATCCTTAAATTAGATTGCATGGAATATTTTCCAACATTTTAAAGATTACTGAGTACTTAAAAATTATAAAAAAAAAAAAAAGGCGCTCACCTGTCATTTTTTTAAATTATGTTTTAACAGAACAGCAATAAAGGTGTTGACACGTTTATCATCCCTTGTTGGGTGACAAGCACATAATCACTGCTATTGTTTGTTTTAAAAATTCATTTCTTTGTTATTTTAAACTTAAATAATATTTTTTTCAAATCAATTTAATTATACTTTAAATCAGCTCAAATAAAGTTTCAGAAAAGTACATTTTACTTTTGGAAGATTTTCAAAACTGAGAATTAACTTTTGTTTACAAATGTGTCAAAAATGGTTGATTTTAAATGATTTAAATGAAAGTGATCAAAAAGTTAAGATTCCAATCACTATAATTTCTATTTAAAATACACCAGAGTATTTTGCTTACTGGAACTAGTAAATATAATCATTTAGCTTTCAATTAAAGTTAAAATGGAAGTGTCAAGAAAAGTTTTTCATTTTTAAAAATTCATTTTAAAGCTTAGGTATCATAAATTTAGTGGAAGTACTTATGTAAAAGAACCTTACTGGGCTGTGGTGGTCTCTGTGCCTGAGTGGGTCTTAAGTACACTAGATTGAATGGTAGTTTTTCCCTACAAAGGGGAACACAGGTTCAGACCATACCAAAGCACATTTCCTTTAAGTTTCATCAAGTGTGCAGACTGGTAGATGTAATACACACCATTTAAAATAAATTAAAAAATCAGGGTGTCTATTTCAAATATTAGTATCCACTAAAAATGTTTGAAGTAATAAAATTGTGAAATTAAAAATAAATCCATTAATTCTTGATAAGTACAAAGGTAATTCAAAAAATTATCCACACTTTCAACATAACATATTTTTACGTTTGTCAAACTGCTTTGTGCTCATGCATGCTTATAGTTGATACTATTGTGGCCACGTGTGTGCCAGTTTTGTTGCTGCTGTTATAGTGTAAACATGGTTGCTCTGCTAGCAGTGTGCACCAAGGAGGAACTAATTACAATGATCCAAATCTGCAGAGAACATGCTACCTCATTGATGATAACTTACTGGTTCATCATTACTATCTCTGGAACTTGCTGAATCTTGTCGACAGTGGTGGAGGTTGATGGGCATCCTTCTGCTTCTTTATGCGTCACAATTGTTTCGACACTTCTCAATCCAATCATACACACTTCTACATGATAGTTCACTGTCATCGTATTGTGTTAAAAGCCTCCATTGAATTTCAGCCAGAGAAATCAAATCACTGCTCTTTTCCTTATTGATACTCACTGCTAACAGAGTGGCCATGTTTGCACTGTAACAGCAGCAAGAAAACTCGCACGATTAAGCTCAAACTTTGATCACGTCATGGTCATGATAGTACCAACTATAAGCACATGAGTAGAAGGCAGTATGACAAACATAAAGATATATTATGGCAAAAGTGTGGATATTTTTTTACTTACCTTTGTAGTTATCTACAGCCATTTCTAATGGTACCTACAACAAAAATTTTATCCTTTATTTTATCAGTAACATTATTGAGCCCCACCTTGTTTTTTTTTTGTTTTTTTTTAAATATTTTCTTCAACATTTACTATTTTATAACTTTCTTCTTTTTCAGAAGTGACAAGACTTTAAAAGCAAACAAGAAAGGATATTTACTATCAATAGACATGAGACAACTTGGAAATATTTTCTTTTCTGTAAGATTTCTTAGCTGAAAGAAAATAGCATCTAATCAAACATGTATTCCTATTCAGTTTGGTGGACTTTGATAAAATTTGAGTATTTACGTTTGCAAAAGATATTAGTCAGTTCACGGACCAACTTGGAACATTCAATAAATGGCCAATTTCTGAAAAGGACTTTATTGCTGGGTATATCAACCCATCATAGACAGAAAATTTCTACTTGTTCAAGTTGTTATAAAAATAGTAGTGCTGGTTACCAAATAAAGAAAAATCCGCCATGGAATATCCTTTTCTTTGGTTCAGATGAGTTTTCTCTGGAGACATTGAAAAAACTCAAAGAGAACATGTGAGTATCCATTCTTTTATTTTTAAACTAATTTCACTGTTTTTGTATTTCCAATGCAAAGAGAACAGTTTATATATATATATATATATATATATATATATATATATATGAGAGAGAACTAAAACAAGGAAAATGTTTCTCACTTAGCTGATTGATGTTACCTTCATCATCCTGACTCCAGAGTTTCATGGACATACCCTCTGGTAATGAACCTGTCCACACATCAGAGGAGTATCAGCAATTATACTTCTCTATTTTTCTTTTTTATATGTACATTTTGCTCTTTGAACTATCCTTTCTGACCAATTCACTGAACCCCTTGACCTTCCAGTGAACTAAGTAAATTTCACCAGCACCTTACAATTTTGTGCTATTGTTTTTGGATCCACAAATTTATTGTTTCTTCTTTAATGGATAGTGGCTCCAATATACTCTTGAAATCATAAATTATTCTGCTGATTGAATTATTCCAATCATTTGGTTAGCAGGACAAACATATATATATATATAGATTTCTTCATTTGTCTTATTTTTAATGCTTATTTCCCTGTCTATTATTTTGACTACATTCCATAGAATTTGCAATGTATCCCACATGATCTGGTATACTTGTCTTTAGAGTTTCTCCACAGATGACCATTTTCTAATGTTCAAGTTTTTGATTTAACCAATGCCTATATCCATTATGCCACCAACCATCCCCAGGGGCATCAGTCATGTTTTTTTTTTAGTCATTAAGTAAAATGGTTATCATGGTGAGTTATACCATTTTGTTTGATAATTTTTGTTTTTGATATTTGAGTTGAAAAATTATTATATATGAAGTGTTGCTGTCTTCTATTGATTGTGAATTCAATCATTTGATCAGGTAGTGAAATAATATACTCTGGTTCAGCATAAACAGATAAGAAATGACATCACAAGGATAAAATAACACAATAATCAGCAGATATGTTATCTTATACCAGTCAAAATAATGATCACTTGAAGGTGGCCAAAAGATATTTGACTGAAACATTATGTCTGTAATCATGAATCAAACAACAGTTTGAATAAATCAAATAATTCAAAATATGTTGGCAATTCCTCATCTGAAAAAGAAATTTTTTTATATAGATGTTAATATGAATTAATAAGTATTACAATGCAATTATACAATGTCAGACTTTATGATACAAGTCATTGTTTCTGCAATAAAATTGGTATTAAACCATTTTTAGTAAAATTTTGAGGATCTAAAAAGAAACAACAACAGCATATGTCTAGAAAACTGGAAGCCAAATGGCAACAATTGAAAGAAAAGTGAAAAAGTGGGAAATGGTTAAAGATTGAGAAAAATGACGAAAAGGACAAATAATAACAACATTCAACATGTATGCACATATACGCAGCCGGGCACATGAGCACGAATACACACACACACACACACACACTATGAAAAAAAAAAACTTGCACCAATAAAAAGCACATATAAAAAAGAAAAATAGAGAAGTATAAGCAGTCAATTGCTGGTACCCCTCTGATGAGTGGATGGGTTCATTACCAGAGGGTATGTCCATGAAACTCTGGAGTCGGGATGATGAAGGTAACATCAATCAGCTAAGTGAGAAACCTTTTCCTTGTTTTAATTCTCTCTCCTATATATATATATATATATATATATATATATGAAAACTGTTGCTTTGTGGAACAGGTACCCAAGAAGATGTTTTCCCAATCACTACAATCTTGACCTCTTCCTGATTTGTATGTGTGTGTAGTTCACAACCAAGAAGCTTTACATTAAGGATCATTCACATTCTGCAAAGTTAATGTCCAAAAAAAAAGGTTTCAAAAACACCAAATTCTTAGAATGCACCTTACCAGCCTTTCCAGATGTCAATTCAATAGAAAACAGGTATTCTATCATTAAAAGAAATTTCTATGAGGATAGAGAACAATCTCTGGGAATCCGTAAAAACTGGTGTAAATCATGTTAAAGTTGAAATAGTAGAAAATTTAACAAAGCCAATAGATTAAAGGTTATAGGATATTAGAGGACTCATATTAATGTTAATGTGTCAAATAATAATAATCATGTCTATGGGATCCTCAATCTGAACCTCAATCCATTATTACACCATGTCACCCAAAGACAAGGTTATTAAAATTTCTAATACGAATAGCTGTAGTGACACTGGCAAATTAATATGCCTAATTTGCATAAGTGCAAGAGAAAGCCTATATAACTCATCACTGAGGATAACGTGGGACGAAGACAAGCTTAGCAAGTGACTAGTGCTAAACTTCGACTTCACATCAATGGCTAAAGGATCCCATATGTCTCTAGAAGATTCAGATTTCGTGGATGCATGGATTCGCTGTTTTTCTGCCAGTGTGAGAATTAAAAAGCTGAAAGACAACAAGGAGAAGGGAGGCGAAAATTAAATTACGAATTTATTTTTGGTTACAGTTGGATGTGAGGTGATAATGAAAGTCTCCACCATGGCATATCCCACAAACTTGGAAGACCTAACTTTCGAAAAAATAAGTCAGATTATAAGGGGAAATTTGAGACCCAAGAAAAGGCTGGTAGTGGCAGAAAGAACAAAGTTCATGTCGATGAAACAAGAAATTGACAAACCAATTATAAAATATCTACTACGAAATGCAAGTAGATATTGCGAATTTGAAAAACTCTGACAAGACGAACAGACTATTGAAGAGGACTTGATTCAATTAAGGTTAATTGAAGGTATGTGCAATGCATCACACCGATATAAAATAATGGAACAACTACAAATAGAAAATATGTCTTTAAATACATGCATTGACTTTATACAGCAACAAGAATTAATACAGAAAATTGATACTGGGAGTGAAGTAATGCTGATACCAAAAAATTTTTGGGAACGCATTGGAAAGCCACCTTTACGAAAGAGCAGTTTACAACTCCGGCAATTTGATGGGTCGGTCATAAAAACTTTAGGATACTTTGAAGGTTCCTTGGAGTTAGAAGATAAATTTGAAGTAATACCTATAATTGTCACAAGTTGTAAAAAGAACCACGGACTTCTTGGAAACAACGTGCTTAACATAAATTCTACCAAATTAATTAATGAGATAAAAATGGAAAAAACCGGAAAGTTAAAAAACTATAAAGCGAGTTTAAAATTAAAAGAAAAAAATCTCCCCCTCTTATTATGAGGCATGAAAATTACCAGTACATTTGTTGCCATTAGTAGTAACAAAACTATGAAAATTAATAGAACAAGACCTTCTTGAACATGTTCTCCCTGGGAGAAGGAAGTGGGCATCACCTATTGTAGTTTTGAAGAAGACAGATGGTGATTTACGTATTTGTGGAGATTACAAAATAAGCGTAAATCACAAAGTTTGTTCAGATTCATATCCTATACCAAATGTTGAAGTTGCATTACATGCACTGGCAGGATTGAGCATTTTTACAAAAATAGATTTAAAAACGGCATACCACCAAATACCAATAGATGATAACTTCAAAGAAGTAACCATGATAAATACACCAGTAGGTTTACTAAGATGGAAAAGGATTCCATATGGAATAAAAACCGCAAGCGCCATATTTCAAAGGGCCACCGAATGAAAATGAATTAAAAAAGAAAACTGGCATAATCTTGAATAGATTAAGAAATGCTGGAATGACAATAAATGAGAAAAAATGCGTAAACAATTGTAGTAAAATATTTTTTTTAGGTTATTCCATTTCAAAAAAAGGTATATCACCAGACCAAGCCTTGATAGAAAAAATACTAAAAGTAGCTACATCTACAAATAAAAAAGAATTGGAGTCTTTTTTGGGATTGGTGAATTTTTACCAAAATACACAGACTTGACTGAACCATTTGCAAATTTAAGAAAAAAGAATGTTGCATTTATTTAGTCAGAGGAACAACAAAATGCTTTTGATAGATTAAAAGTAATTATGGCAAAGAAACCAGTAGTGAAAATGTTTGATCCAAAAAAGGACATTACGTTAACCACAGATGCAAGCGAACATTCGATATCGGGAATATTATCACAAGAAGGACATCCGATAATGTATTTATCAAGAAGACTAATGAACACCAAATTTAATTATTCAAATATAGAGAAAGAAGCATTGGCTATTGTGTGGACAGCTACTAGAGCCCGACAATTTTTAATTGGGAAAAAATTTCTGTTAAGAAGTGATCATAGACCATTATAGTTTATATTTAACCCAAGGAAAGAATTACCCAAAGTCACAACATCGAGGATACTAAGATGGGCAATAAGATTAATGGCATTTAACTTTGATATAGAATATGTCAAAGGAAATTCAATTCCACACGTAGATGCACTATCAAGATTGCGATTTTACAAGGAGTCAAAAGATAAAACAGAAGAAGAATTTGAAGATGCATTCTTACATTGGGTAGAGACTGATGTTTTGTCTTTAGATAGAATAGCTGCGGAAACTAGACATGATCCAGTACTAAGTAGGATAATATCGAGAATAAGAAAAAACTCATGGGGAAATTGTTCTAGGGCAGAAAGACCCTACAAAGAAATAAGACAGAAATTAACGATAGAACATGGAGTGATTTGTAATGGGGATCTGGTAGTTCCCCCAGAAACACAAGAAAATTGGTAATAAAATGATATACACTGTGGAGTAGCGGCCACACAAAAAAGGATAAAATTAGAAGCATGGTGTCCAGGATATTTAAGAGATGTCGAAGAATATATAAAAAGGTGCAAAAAATGTAAAGAATTAAGAAACTTTATACAGACTACTTTATATTCGTGGCCCAGAGAAGTGGAGCCATGGAGTTGGGTGCATATGGATCATGCGTATATTACTGGAGTGGGACTCTTATTAATTCTAGTAGACTCTTTTTCAGGCTGGCCTCAAATATTCTGGGTGCCAGACAAGAAAAGTTCTACGATAAAACAGATTCTAAGGGTCATATTTTCCAGAAATGGCATACCAAAAACCCTGGTATCTGACAACTGACAAA